TTTTTTAAAAAAAAAAATTTAAATTTATTTTAGAATTAAAAAAGATAATGAGTAGTTGTGTTCCATAAAATAGGATCCATTATTTGATTTTTCTTCTAATTTTAATTTTTTTAATATGAAAAAGTGTGAATTTACCATATTATCCTCATTTAATTAATAATTTCAATTATTAACGTTTGCATTAACCAAAGGCATTTTCTGATATTTTGAATGTTTCACCATTCTCTGTCTTTTGTTTTATATATACTAGCCCCTTGCCACACGCTCACGCGTGTGCCAATTGGTTTTCTTTTTGTAATTTTTAGTTTTTAGAATTAAGAAAAGAAAAAATGGGTAGTTATTTTCCATAAAAATAGGATCCATTATCTGTTTTTTTTTTTTAAATTTTTTTAATATAAAAAATGTGAATTTACCATATTATTCTCATTTAATTAATAATTTCAATTATTAATGTTTGAATTAACCAAGGGCATTTTCTGGTATTTTGAATGTTTCACCGTTCTCTGCATTTTGCTTTATATATATAGATATAAATATATATATGTATTAATCTACTCTACGAGAAGGGGAATTCAAATTTTAGCGTGAAGAGACGAGCTCATTGCAATAGCCAACTAGCTTAATTGAGGTCTGCTTCTCCTACTCAAATTTAAAAACAGTTAACATGGCATTTATACACATCCTGGCTTTTGGGCAGCCCATACCGTGTGGTACACTTTAGTAAGACCCAAAACATAGGGCTTGAACAATTCTGAGGATAGGGCTACGTGGAATTTTGTTATAAATGTTTTGGGCTATGGGTCAACTGGTCCTCATCCTTCTTCCTTTTGGATTATTCTTATATTTAATCTGTCATTTTATTGTGTGAGTTTAGCCTTGGACTACTATTCTCAAACTAAGTAAGTTCTTGAGGAAAAATATGATAGGTAAATTAATACCCAATTAATGTAAGTCGCCTTTGATAACCAGTTTAGTTTTCTTTTATTGGGAACAAAAAAAAACCTATTTAACTATTTTCAGTTTTCAAATAAAATAAAAACTGAAAATTGTTTAAAACTTGTTTAGCAACAGTTTTGTTAGTTTTATATGAAACGTGGAAATGGATTTATTTTTGGGGTCAAATTGTGGATTTGAGGTCATTAAAATGAACATGCGTATTACAAAGAAGTTGAATTTTTCAGTTAGTTTTTCAAAATTAAGATAAATTTTTGGTAAACTAGATACAGTGATGGATCTAAAAGGCGCGAGTGAAGGCTATAGCCCCCCACTCACCCTTATTGCTACCCTTGAAGTCTCCCATAATGTCCTTTGAAGTTCTGCTTGAAGGGGAAAAAGTCTTTGAGAAAACTCCTGAGAGAAAATAGGAAGGGGGCAATCTTTTGACAAAAATAAGTGACAGATCTAAAAGGGATAAAGCTATTGGCAGATATCTCTAATTATATAATTTAGTTTCATTTCATATGTCTATACAATTCTTTTGGTGTGGGTTCTAGAAATTTATTATCTTTCTCTTCAAACTAAATGCTTTGTGCTTCCACCTTTCGCCACCAACACGAAAATTCATGGATACGCCACTAGCTAGATGTACTGAGGCTCGGACTAGGTCAGAGGAGGAATACAAGATTCGACCGACTAGTTCCAAGTCAAGAGTTCCCATATGCAAAATTTGGGATTGAAGTGCAATGTATGTGTGGTGATGTAATTGGTGAATGAGAAAGAATGGTAATAAAAATGAAAAATGAAATTTTTAGTATGAGAATTTGGTTCTCAACATCCGTGGCATTCCTCCACAGTAGGTGCATGCCCTTTTTTAAAGAATTCCTTAATTAATGATGAGAGTAAAATTTAACGGAGAAGTTGGTTATTAAGAAGAAATGGATTTAATAATCAGTGCCAACCTAATTGTATTCCTGTTTTCGCATGTAAAGCCATAATGCCACAAAAACTTTTGATGCAGCTGAGGAGACACATCATAATAATAAATAAATAAACAAATAAAGATTGTCATAATATTACGATGTTATGGATGAATGAAATCATCACATTGCATATATACAATACTGGAATTAGCAAGCGATACAAAGAAAGTAAACAAAGTCGTTGTGCACACCACACTACTCATGTCCACAACTATTATTTACAAAGACGATTCTTTTATTTTTGGTCGTCCACTCCACAACTTGAATAAAATAAGGGGTTCTTAGATTTAGGTCCAAAACGATTAGCTGTCATTGGGTTGAGTCCTCGTGTTTTTAATTTTAGATGTAGGTCCTTTGACATTTATTACTTTTTTGTTGTGTCGATTTTACCCTTTAAGGTAAATAAGGAAAACACATTGAAAATCTAAATTTAATGCATTTTTTCCTTGAAATTGAATTCCAAATTTTGAATTTTGAATTTTTTTTCCTTGATAATATTCCTAATATATAGATAAAATACAATTTAATCAATAAAAAGTAAAGACTCACATATTATACCAATCGATCAGACAAGCACCCACATTAAATTATGTACCTGACATACAGGTAAATAATGTTAATGCATACATGTATATATGTACCTGCCTTATAGGTAAGTGTTTTTTTCTTGAGTTTTCTTAAGCAGTTTTTTCTGGAGGTTTATATTTATATACATACGTACATGTCTTCCATGTAATAGTGTTTTTTTTTTTCCAAAGAAATTTTGTATGGATTTTTATCTCAGTTGAGTTTAAAGATCCATACCAAGATATTATATGAGTTCAATTAGCTGGGCTAGAGGGTATAACTACCTAGACTAGAGGTAATTTATGGATTTAATTACCTGGACCAGAGGTAATTTATGGGTTTAATTACCTGCATACAAGGTGTATGCATAAGTACCTTACCTATTGTTAAGGTATGAAGTTTTTATGAACTCTTATTACAAATTTTGATGTCGGTATACCTTGGGAAAATTTCAGAATTCAATAAATAGATTTGCAATTAAATTCAAATCAAATATGATAATTAATATCCTACAAATCAATAACTTACCAGTTTTAGGAATTCATAATTTACCTTATTTATGTTTTAGGTGCATAACTGGAACAAAAAATAAAAAATAAAAAAAAGTAAATATCAATAAATTGAAATAGGCATGTAATCTTATGTGACGCAAAAGTCAAAGGACTTGGATCAACAATATTTTCTGCGTGGATTGCACCCAAAATCTCTCCTCATAATTGAACTTATGCCAAATTTTCTATAAAATCAAATCAAATTGATGTAAGCATGAAACAATCCAAACTAAATAAAACACAAAATACCTAGGCACAAGAAAACAAACAAATAAACAAACAAAGGGAAAGAAAGAAATACTGAGACAGCTGAAGAAAGAAACTATGAATAATATTAGTATAGAACAAACACACGAGAGGACCCACCTTTTCCGCATATATTATATATCAAGAAATCAATATTGAAAGGAAACATGTGGCACATGAGAAATCTTGGGCCAATCTTCTCCAATATCGCACTGGCATCTCCTCTCTAATTCAGGACAATCATCAATCACAAGTTTTCTTAAGGAGGTAAGAGAACGCATCCCCTCTGGCAGAGACGAAAATTTCGGACATGAATCAAGGAACAACTTTCTGAGTAATGTGAAACTTGCCAACCACTCAGGCAATGCCTCCAAATTCTCACACCTGCTAATAGACAAGAGTTGAAGGGTGTTAGCCACTCCTTTAAACCATTCAAGCAATGCCACCATCCGTGGTAAATTTATAATATACAAGTTTTGGAGCCTCAGTGGAGTTCCTTGATAGTTTACGTTCCCCAAATCCAGTTGTTTACATTCTTCTATCCACAAAGTCCGTAAGGAAGCAAGATAGCTCATTTCACGCGGCAAAGAGGTTAAATTACTACACGCACCAATACTAAGAAATCGAAGTGATTTCAAGCATCCCACCCCACTATGTGCAAAACTTGTTTGTTTTGTCGTTAACCAAAGTGATGTGAGGCAGATCAATTTGCTTATATCTCTAGGCAACTCTTCAAGATTCACACATCCTGCAAGTTTTAGAGCTTGCAAGCTCTGCAGTTTGCAAATTTCATCAGGGAGTTTCTTTATTGCTTCATTATATTTCAAGTCCAAATATCTCAAATGTTTCAGGGAACCAATGGAACTTGGCAACACTTGTAATGATATTCTAACAAACTGAAGCACTCGCAAATACTTGAATCTTGAAAAGCAAGTGTTCGGGAAGGATTCATCAATGTCTACCATGTCTGCTGCTACAGTCCGCACTTTGTTTAACTTTTGCAAGGTTGTTGAAACATTTTGGCCAGCTTCCAAAAATGTCAAATGTCTAACATTTTCAGATATGTCTTCGGTGTTTGCAGACTTCACTGTAAAACACTCACCTTGTGCAACTGATTGTACAAGATCATGGATAAGATCATGCATATCAAATTTGTAGAACATTCCATAATCAGTAACGTTTTGAAAGAAGGATCTCGCCCATAAATCTTTAAAATATAGGTCTCCGATGTCTTCCAACTCCATATTCCCATGAACACGAGACTGATCAAGGATCCCATGTGCCATTCAATATATGATCAATTGAAAACTACTAAATCTAATCATATCCTTTCGAAGATGTGAACAGTAAGCAAGACATTGTCTCAAATGATGAGGTAATCGGGTATAACTCAATCTCAAAGCAGGTAAAATGTGACAGGCATCTTCCCGATCTAATTTCCATATCTCAGAATCTCTCACCAATTTCCATTCGCGCTCATCGGTTTTTGAGTGTAGTTGACTCCCTAAAGTTTTCACTGCCAATGGAACCCCTCCGCACTTTCTGACAATATCCTTTCCCATTTCAAAGAGGTTAGGATAGTCTTTATCACGTCCCTCTTTAAAAGCACATTCTACAAACAAAGACAAACAATCCTCGAAAGAAAGAAATTCTAAATTAATGTTTGATGGAATGGTACCCATGATCTCAGCAAATGCGGTACTTCTTGTCGTCACTAAAATCTTACTTCCTGACTTGGCTCCCTCTATCACTAGATCTCTCAACTGACTCCACTTCAAAGCATCATCATTCCAAACATCATCCAAGACAAGCAGAAATTTCTTATCCTTTAAAGCGTCACGTAGCCTTCCTTGCAACTGATCCAGAGTCAATTTATCACTGATCTCTGTATCTAATGCAGAACCGAGAATCAGTCTTGTCAATCTAGTAAGTTCAAAGTCCACCGGAACAGATGCCCACGTCCTCAATTCGAAATGCCCAACGACCCTTTTATCATCGTACACCCACTTGGCAAGTGTGGTCTTCCCTAAACCCCCAATCCCCACTATCGGAATGACAGAGACTTTATTATTAGAATTCCGGCTTTGATCATCATCACCTTGTTGCATCAACAGATTTACAATTTTTTCCTTCTCAGACTCTCTACCAATAACCTTTGAAGCAGGAACGAAGGGTCTTTCATGATGATCACCTCCATCTCCATGAGGAAGAATGGTGAGAGAATCAAATATAGCTTTATTGGACTTGAGCTCATCTAACCTCTCTCTAATCTCCTTGATTTCATTGCCTACTCTGAAACGGAATGCAATTGGATTAGAACGAGAGAAGAAACGGCGTACCTTTCCAGTTGTACCATGAAATGTTTCCACCACTTCCCTCCGCAAAGCTTCGCACTCAAACTCATCCAACAAATCCTCGGCATCAAGAAATACATCTTTAAGCTGTCTTAGCCAACTGCGTATCTGCTGGTTATGAGCTTGCTTCTGTTCGGCATCCAAGAGGACATCTTTGATGGTGGACATTGTGCGCTGAAGCTTTTTCAGATCAGCTTTAACGCCCCATGCCAAGCAGATCTGCTTAAAAGCAGAGGAACCGAGCTTTTCAATGAGTTTGGTTGCCAAAGGAAAGGCAAGATCAGCCATGGTTCTGTTGAGGAGGTGAATACAAGGGAATTGGGATATATTGTTTTTAAACGGAGTACATGAATTTCAATTAACTGAAACAAAAATATGTCTTCATATAGAAAGGCAACGTGAGGGGAAGACAAAATAAAAGTATAAGATACCAGAGCCTCAATTACAGGACAACAAGTCACCCAAAGACGTTGCAGTCCAGATTCTATGAAGCGTAAAGAATTAGGAGGGCAAGTCTTTTTTTTTTTTTTTTTT